GTCATACGAACTTCATTCGGATCAAGGCCATAACTTTGAATCAGCTGTGTTCCATGAATGCTGCAAGTTGTTTGGTATACGAAAGACCAGAACAATGCCACTTCACCTACAGTTTGATGGGATGGTAGAAAAATACAATTGGACACTGGGACAGGAATTGGCAAAGTTTTGTTATAGCCGTCAAGATGACTGGGATGTCTTACTCCATCCACTGTTGATGGCCTATAGAACAGCAGAGCATGAAGCCACTGGATACATTCCAGCAAAGTTGATGTTTGGTAAGGAACCTTCGTTGCCAGTGGATCTGATAACAGGACGCTTATCTTATGAAGAGTAGCCTGAAAATGTGTCAGAGTTTGTGAAAGTGTTATCTGAAAGGATGGATGATATTCATCATCAAGTCCATTCCAACTTGAAAACGTCTGCTGATTCGATGAAGCTATGTTATGATAAGAGATCTACTGAAGTCAGCTTTGTACCAGGAGACAAGGTGTGGTTGTATAATCCCAGGAAGACCAATAGGAAGTCTCCTAAGTTGTCTTCTCCATGGGAAGGCCCATATGACATAGTGGATCATCTCTCAGACGTGACTTTCCGAACAAAATGTGGTCGCCGCGGTAAGCCAAAGGTGGTGCATGCCAACAGACTTTGGCATTATTACGGTCCTGGTCATTTCAGTTGGAACGAAGTTAACAATGGAACAAATGATGCTGCTGAAGACGTGTCACCTGAAAAAGCCACTGTCGAAGAAGAAACTCTACTCGGTTTTGAGAAGGGAAATGGTGAAGCCCTTAATGAAGTTACTACCACTGATGTGACTATTATCGATAATAGGACATTTCTTGATGGAGTAGATGAACCCCACGTGAAGCAGAAGCCAACAAGATGGAGACCAGTATGGAAGAAGATACATCCCATAACATTATGAGACTTTGTTGAATTTTAATTTTGTGTTTTTAAATTCTGTCCATTTAATTAAGTTATTGTTAATCATCTATTGGTTTCATGTAAGTGGCTACGAACAATACTAAAAAGGGGCAGTGTTACGACAGCGGAAGTCACGTGACACTTGTAACACGTAATGAGATTCTAGAAGGATCATGTCTGTTCCTGGCAACTCTAGTCTTTTCTACGTGTCCTCTATTTTTTGTATATATAAGCCGGCAAATGAAGTGATGGCATTGATAATTGCACACAGACAGAGACAGACAATTGAGTCAAGCGCGGTAGTGACTAAGTAAAGTGCGTGAATTGTTGTAAATTATAGCATGTTTTAAAGTTAAAGGGACTGTGGAAATTATATATATTGCAAAGTTGTATTGAGAAAGAATAAACTAGTTTTATTTAAGAAAGGACTTGTATCGCTAATGTCTCATCTGAAAGAAATTATACGGGAAATTAACAAACAACCAGAGATGTAACACCAGCTTCAAGTTTCAGAAAACTATTCAAATATTAAAATGTCTTTTTGTTTTTTTACTGTGTTCCTAAAAATTAATCTGGCAATGGAAGAGTTGTTTATTTATAAATGTTACAATGAAAGAATTAAGTGCAACTTTATAATACATAAATCCTAACTTTAGGAGTTAGAAGTCTAGCACAATATTTTTCAACCTAAACACAAAACTAGCGAAACTTACTCTAATACAGAAGAGACAGAAAAATTCAGATCTTTAATATGGAACAATTAAATATGTGTCTTCTACACAAAAACACTTTAAGCTACAATTTGAAAGGAATGATCTGTTCTCACTGAATTGCTGGATTCAAATTTCTGGTGTTAGTCAAGCTTTCTTTGACTTAGAATTGTGAACTTCAAATACATATCAATCACTCTTTACCCATATTCAATCTAACTATGGAAGAAAACAGTTAATGTTTACAAGTTTAACACTAACTAGTACTTTTATTCTACAGTCTTAACCCCTATTTCTGGACATTAAACTCCACAAAATTTTTCACTGACTGACTACATTCACATAAGAACCAGTTTTAATACACTGTACTTAAAATCTCAGTTGTTTTGTTTTTCTTTTTTTTGGGGGGGGATTAGCTTTAGTGCAAAACTACAAAATTACTTATCTGTGTCACATATATTGTGGGGATTAAACTTTTACTTTTAGCATTATAAGCTCTGAAGCTAATCACTGAAGCATGGGAGACTTTCTTTGTTCTAAAACAGCTTAAAAATAGAATGAATTATTGACTATTATAGACACTAGTTTATTATTCATCTACCATACTCTCTTCTTAATTAAGAGAACAGCTAATACCATAATACCAATGTGTAACTCTAATTTAAATACAATAATCAAACTAAGTATAATCTTAAGTATCGAATAATAATAATAGTGCTATTCTTACTTCCCTACTAAATTTCTCACAACAACTATCTTTAAGTTTAAAACCTTACATTAAACTTCTATCATACTGAACTATTTCTACTCTGCACAGTAACACTCTATAAAAAATTTCTATTATGGTCAAGCATTATGCTATAATATACATATTTCATTAAACTTATATTTAAGGTAATATTGCCAACATAGAGTGATATATGAAGTTTAAAACAAGTGCTTATTGAAATAGTTCCTCTAGTTTCAATACATTAACAAGAACATGTTTAATAAAGAGCATAATATTACATACTATGATAGATATATGCCACCACAAATCATTTAGTAAAAATGGGCAATTTTAAATCCAATTGTTTGAAAGTATTGTTACGTCTCCGTTCGTTAGTTAATTTTCCGTAAATTCGTTCCGACGAAACTTTAGCGACACAAGTCCTTTCTTAAATAAAACTGGTTTATTCTTTCTGAATATAACTTTGCGATACACTTGATTTCAACAGTCGCGTTATAACAAACGTCTCCCGTGCTCGACTTCAACAATACTCAGTTCAATTACACACTCTCTGCCTGCAGTTCAATTACTCATTTCAATTACCCATACATCCCGTTACGTTGTGACCATCTTATATATACCAGCTTACCCCAATCTAGTAGTCTCCCGACAATTCACGAAGGAACAGGATATTTCTAGAAGGAGGTGACGTGATACTAGTCACGTGACCTCGCTGACGCAACACTATCATATCACTATCTATTTGAGTGTTCCTGTTCAGTAAAAATATATCTGATTATTTTAATCAGAAATTAATTCATAAAAAGTTAAAAAAACAATGTGAAACAACAAAAGAAAAACATTGCATAAAGAATTATTAGTCTAATAAGTACTAAAACCCAAATTAATTCAACACTCCTGACTTACTAGACCCAGGCAATGGACATACTTCACAAGGAACTGTTCCCCATCCTTTACCCATGCCATCACCACAGCAACATTCCATTTTTGATAAATTAAATGGAAGTGGGATTCGACACCGACCATTTCGAAATTCTGTATAACAGCTGCCTTGCCTTGTATCTAGAAATAAAGAAAAAATAATTGAAATGACACATTGAAGAAACAGTGCTTGCTTTCTGATTTACACAATATTCTTTATTCAAAAACAATGGTGCCTAACTCATTTATTTACTGGAAAGTGAGTCTAACATGTTAAAAAATAGCCCTTTTTTAAAGAAAAGATGTTTAAAAACTTCCATACTTTTTTATTAAAATTAAAACTTTTAAATGTATAAGTTGAAGGAACTTTTACTTTATTAATAAATGAAATCTTTAAAAAAAAGACATTATTTGATACTAAAAAACATCTTAATAATTACAATTAAGATTTATATACTGCTTAATCAATGATAGAAAAAAGTTTCACCTCTTTCGACTTTTTAAATTTTTAAAGTAAAAACAGGTTTAAAAATTAGTTACATAAAATTATTTTTCATCACAGTTTATTAAAATATTAAAATTCATAGATGCTCAGCTGTTATTCATTGGAATCCTTTATTACTTGAAATTCCTATTACTTACCAAAGCAGATTTTCAGGTCTGGACTTGGAACAAAGCCACGATCACAATTACAGTAATAACTGCCCTCAGTGTTCTGACAACGTCCATGATTACAGATATCTGTCTCTACTAAACATTCATTGATATCTAAAAAAATCAACAATGAATATTACACATAATTTACTTCAATTTTATTAACTCTACTTACCATCAATTATATATATGTAATTCTAAAAAAAGGAAGCAATGTAGTAAACAGACCTATGGATACTACTTCTATTAGAACATTCTGTTAGGTATCTGGTCGTTTGTTAATTTCCGGTATAAATTCTTTCCGAGGAAGTTCAGAGATACAAGTCCTTTTTTTTTTAATTAAAACTATTTTATTCTTTCTCGATAAAACTTTGTAATACACAAAATTTCTGCAGTCACTTTAAATTTAACAA